GCGTATCCAGGAAGTGTAGGCCTTGGCGCCACTTGACATTGGCGCGCTGTAATATGGAGTCGGCGGTCTCCTGGTCATTGTTTACCACATCGGTGAGTACGTTTTTGAGAGAGCGAAGTAGAGCCAGGCAGGTGTCCCAGGCACTATGAGCCCTACCCAGTTTGCGGCTCTGATTGGGTTGGTTGATGGTCGGTAGAGTCTGAAGTAGGATTGCCATGACGGCGTCATGTGCTTGGTGAACACGAGAGCATGCCGCTTCTCGCGCCGACTGTTGTGGCGTCTGTCCAAATACCATGCCGACCTCTGACAAAAGTGCAGAGGAAGCACAGCCCAATGCTGTAGCCTCTTTAAGGCAAGCTGCCGCTTGCATCAATCGAGGTTTGTGTGTTTCCACTTGGGCATCCACTTGTGCCCTGAGTGCCTGTAGGGTATTTCCATGGGCCATGTTGGCGAGTTTTCGCCATCGGGGCTGTACGAGATCTGAGGTCGCAGCTGGGGTGGTGGGGATGTCAATGCCCAGGTCGATCAGAACCGGATGGTGATCCACCCGCTTGTGCCAATTCCAAATTAGTGATGAGTTGAGAACAGGTGCATGGAACCCGATGGCCGGGAGGATCCAGATGGAGTCCAGGCGGCTGGCACTGCCTGTGGGAGAGACATAGGTGAAACCGGGAAGTGCGGGATGTGAATCTCGCCAAGTGTCAATGAGGCCCATCTCTCGGCATTGTACGGCCAGGCACTCGTCCCGTACTTGCCACTGACCTTGCCACTTATCCAGAGCGCCGTCGGTGAAAGAATTCAGATCACCTAGCACCACCAGAGTCCAGTCTTTTGCCTGAGCCAAGACCACTTGTTGTTGCAGATAAGAGACAAGGTCAGTTTCGTGTTGGACAGCCCTCAGGTTCTGAGTGAATCCAGGCAAACATGCGCCTGTCGGCCCGTAGACCGCGACTACCCGGAGCACAGCTCCGTTATGCAAGCGTATGGAGCCGCCCAGTGCCCGTCCATGCGGACCTGGTTGGACCTCCGTCCAATCAGCAGCTACATCGCGTCTGATCGCCAATGCTACTCCAGAGCCAAGCGGGTTGTCGGTCCGTCTGTCAGTACTGGATACATTATGGGAAATGCAGAGATAGCCAGCCTCCCACATGCCGCTTATGGCAGCATTGTGTGCTGAGGCCCCATCAATACGGGTTTCCGTCAAGGCTGCTATGTCCACGCCAAGATCCGACATGGCCTCCGCCCACCACATACCCCAGGCATGCCGGTCTGTCCCAATGCCTCCAGTTTGCAAGGCAGCCAGGCGGGTGACCTGACTGCCCTTCCACGAGCAGTCGTGCCCGAGCGGCAGACCAGTAAGCCGTGGGAGAGCTGTGATCCGACCCACGGGCGCTTCTAACCTGTCCGGAAGAGGATCACCATCTTCCACTTCGTCCGGTTCCATCATTGCTAGAGCTGGGGACACCCTAGCAGAGTCCGAGAAGCTGGCGACACTAGGAAACGGCGGCGGGACGAGTCAGCGGGAGCAAGAAAGAGCAGACACGGCCAGCAGAAAAGAGGACAGGAGAGCCAGAGGCAAGCGATCGTTTCGAAGCTGCTCTTGACGGGCGAGCCGTTACTGCGGCCAGCGGCCATGGGCACAACCAGGCCGCGGAACATCGCAGAGCGAATGAGGAGAAGCACACAAAAACAAAGAGGACTGTACAGCATGAGAAAAGACTATCGCCACTCTAGGCCGAAGGGAAATTAAACGAGAGGATATTGGCATTGCACTCCGGGCATCGGCATTCCGCTTCATTGTCAGAGTGGAGCGAGTCCATCTGCTGTACTCGTGCAAGCCAACGCTCAAGACAAGAGGCATGTACAGCGTGTAGGCAAAGGGTGATGGCAACTTCCTCCCCAGGGCCAAAGGGAGATCTGCAGACTGCGCATTCACCATTGCGCGGGACTGCAGGGATATGGGCGAGGGCAACCCCGCGAGATTGACCCCTCAAGACCACGGAGATCTGGCGGTCCCTGACGGGCTGTGGCTCATTAGCAAGGTCAGCCGGGCGATGCGAGTCCGATGCACCTTCGGCGTTATCTGCAGGGGGGCCGGCAGGGGGTGGAGTCGCATCGGGAATCGTGCCTGTTGCTGGTGCTGCCGGGCCTGTGCCCGAATTGGTGTGCTCAGGTTGGGAAGAGGTATCCAGATGTGCGGGCCGGGCTGGGGGATGATTGCTGATGTGCCGTGGCACTCGGGTCTCTTCCGGGAGTGCTCGTTGGGCCAGGCTCAACCTGACCGTACCATGTGGTGTTTGTACAGAAATAGAGCGTGAGCTTCCCGACCATGGCACACCAGTGTGCCGGGCAAGTTCCTGCATCACCGTCCTCACCGTGGGGACATCCGCAAATTGCGGATGCGCCAACATTGTAGTGATCCCATGTTGAGCTGCACCAGGTGGGAGTCGGATGATGCCATCTGCCAAGTTGTTAAGGGTGGTGGACATGTGGTACACGGCGCCGAGGGCGAGACCCGATTCTTCGAGTCTGATGCCTCGGACAAGGAACCCTACAGGCGCGAGTGGAACGGGGGAGGAGTTGGGAGGGTTAGGTGACAATGGCCGTGTTGGGGGCAGCGGATTGGGCAAGGTGGTGGCACCACGTCCTCGTCCACGACCTCGGCCAGTCCGAGTGGTGCCCGGATAGACGGGGGTGTTTCGTAGGCGCCGGTCAGATGCTGGGGCTGGGGCTCTGCGCCGGCTGGGGCGAGCTCTGGAGGTGCGACGCAAAGGTGTTCTTGAACGGGAAGAGG